TATATATATATATATACATGTTTCCGTTACTGCTCAAATTCTCATTTTCAGTTAGTAACATACATCCATTTCGAAAAAAAGCGAGCGGGAAGGAACCGCTTAACCCTGAGGAATAGGGGGAGAAAAACCGGTTCCCATACAACACCGACCGATGGTGGCTGTCAGGCTGGCACCGTCGGCTACCGTGATAAAGGAGACATCATACCCTTCGGTAGAGCAGTGTAACTGATCCAGCAAAAGATAAATAATAAGAATAATATTGCGCGGCAAAGGGTCAGTGCGATTACACATTTTAGTGATGGGATGCTATGGACAATCAGTGAAAAGATACGTCATGAAATGCAAGGGGCAGCAGTACTGCACATCGTGCTTTTTAACTCTTCCGGCGATTGCAACCCGTATTGTAACTAATCATGCTTCGTACAAGCGCGCTACTACTTACAGATCAGGGTGGTTCGAAAACAGTATGGCCTTCTTACTTTGATATTCTAATGAAATCAGCGAAGCTAAGGTATTCGCACTGTCGAACAGGCCCTCGTTGTGTTTTCCGCTGCTCGAAATTATGGTTTACGTTCACTTCCTGGCTTAGGCAGACGTAGCTATTGACCTTTTTCGAGTCTAAAACGCTTACTCATAGTGAGTTTTGGGTGTGACAACACACATCGTTTCTGTTGTTGACAAGCTGTTTTTTAGGCCCACATTCTCACTTCATTCATTAAGCTGCTGCAGTGCCCCATTTACTTTGCAACACCCCATCTGCAAAATGTAAATAACTCAGCTGCTTACCTTTGTTATTCCAGTTACCCTCTCATGCCAAATTACACAATACTATATCGAGGTAGACTGTGAAAGGTTTGGACAATAAGTCAGTCTGTCTGCTTAGCGATGCCGTCTTGACAAATCGATGTAAGATAGGATCAAGCCACAACAACCGGAAACTACAGAATTTGGAATGGATAAAGCAAAGACGCAGCAAGCGCCGGTTATTTGTTCCATAACTGAGTTGATTAAAAGAACGAGACTGAGGCTGCAGTTTGTCACGGTGCCCTTAGTAATGAAGC